ACCTCCACCAAAATCACTACCACCACCACCACCGCCGCCGCCGCCGCGGATATTATCAGCGACGGCAGGGGCGCGGGCTTGGAGTCTGGGTTTGTTGTGGGAGGCGGAGTTGGAGGAGGATATGGAACCGAATGCCGGTGCACTACCGTTACCATTACCGTTTCCGTAGTTATTCCCATTCCCCTTCGTAGACGCAGCAGCAGACCCCAGACTCGTATTCGAACTCGCAGCCGCCCTCGCACGCGCAGCAGCAATCGTCTCTTCACTCAGCATAAAAGGCTGGGGTTTACTAGTACTCGGAGGCTCCATCCCGTTTAGGAAATCCATCAGACTCTCCTGTCGTGGAGCTTGCGGTCTCTTAGTTTCCGGTGCTTGGTGTTTTTGCACCTGCTGAGGCGGGTGTTGGTTAGTCGGCGTAGGAAGAGCAGTCAACTGATCCTCATCTTCATCCTCGTCGTCCTCGTCTTCGTCGGAGAGGTCGATGGCGTAGGGGTCCTTAACGCGGCGACGCGTGCGCGTGATTTGTGGTTCATCGGGGCCGGACATGCTGCCGGTGAGTTGTTGGGGTTGGTTGGAGTAAGCGGGCTGGACGACGCTGGGGGAGGGGATGAGACCGGTGCGTGAATTGATAGTTTGGGTACTGTCCTTTGATTCTAGGGTTGAGGATGCAGAGCCGTATGCTGATTCGACGTTGCCGTGGCCACCGAGCATTGTCTCGAACTGGTCGGAATCAACGGTTGTGCGGAAGGGCGCGACGTTTCGCGGGATTCTTGGCTGGCCGTGGTTTGCGTCGGGGGGTCCTTGGCGGATGAAGTCGATGAGGTCGCCGTTGCCGGTGCTTAGACCTGCGGGACTGCGCGGCTCCATGTTTGGGCGAGCTCGCGTGGCTGATCCGTTGGCGCTGCTGGACTGCTTTGACATGGACATCTTACGTCCGAGAGACGAGGTCGACTGGTTGCCGGACTTTTGGCCATTTCCACTGATGTTGACAAAGGGCTGCACGGGCTTCTCCTGTCCGGGAGAAGGACCAGTCGACCGAATAAAGTCAGCAAAGTCACGCATGGACTCAGACTCGATCTTCGGATCTCTTGCAAGCGGCCTGGTGACAACCTTCCGACTGGGAGAAGGCTTGTGATTGGCGGCGGTAGGTCCCTTGGCTCTTGGTGCTGTGGTGTTGGGCAGGTTCGCAGTGCCAAACGACTTGTCTTCGGCATTGACGCGGGGATACACAGTTACGGAAGATGCGGAGGGCCTGCGTAGTTCTGCCTTCTTGACGACGGGGGATTCCTTCTATAGATCATTAGCACATGTGATCCAGGGAAGCAAGCACGACTTACATCGGCAGTTCGCACGCTTTCGGGGGTTAATGTAAACTTTACCGTATCCTGTCCTTTGACCAAAGAGTCGAATTCGCGGGCGCGGTCTTCTTCAGACATGCGGCCGCTCAGTCCACGGGAGCGGTGGCTTCCAATAGACTCCCGTCCGCTTGAGACGACGGGATAAGCGCCCTGCTTCCGGAGTGAAGAAGAGGTCGATGTACCACGCTTCAGCGAGGAGTTGTCCGAAGAGGATTTATCGGCCACATGCGGAGAACGAGCCGAGTCGTCTGTAGATAGGCGGTTCGTCGCTCGTCGCTCGGATGTATCAGTCGCAGACGTGGGACTTCGCCTGGGACTGTCCGAGGTACGCACACTACGGCTCGTGTGAATCGACGGCGTCTTCCTTTTGTGCTGTGGAGTGTTGCTCTCGACTTCCTGCAGCGCAGGTAGTGACGAACCACGCGACGCTGAGCGGGCTAGATCCTGTCTCCTCGGTGCGCTGGTGGGACCTTCGTACGCGGCGGGGCCTGGGACCAATTCGGCGCCAGTGAAGGACCTTCTGTTGACTTCTTTGCGTGCCACGGAACGGTCTGGCACGTTGGGCTTGCTATCAGGCGAGGGAGTATTGCTGTATGTAAGCGACGTTGGCGTGAAGTCTCGAGGTGGCACTTCAACGTAGCCTCCACTGCCCGGCCTTCTCCGCTCATGAGGCGAATCGCTGGGGGAGTTTGAGGCTGACCGTATAACGCTGTCCGATGTTCGCGCGACGCCAATGGCACGATGCTGCTCCGGCTCGTCGTCTGATGGCTCGTCATCGAGATAGGATCGCCCTTCGGAGTGGACAGGGGCTTTTGGTGTTGCCAATGGTGTTCCAACGGGCGATTTGAGGCTCGAGCTGCGGGTTGAGAATGTGCGGACCAGTCCTGGAGGGCCGGGTCGTTCGATTGACATTCTCTTGGACCGCATGACTTGGGGCGGGCTTTCGGCGGTGGCCTCGTGCGTCTCGTCTGCCTGCTCAGCCTTCTCAGTCTCCTCGGCTTGACGCTCTGGTTCCTGCGACGGTCCCACTGCGCTCCTTCGGAAGCCCATGCCGGTAGCCGCTGCGAATGCCACCATGGAGGCATCTTCCTCGGATGACTCGTCCTGCTGATCCTCAGTATCTTGTGCAGTCTCGTCTGTTGCTTGTAGGGGGGTATCCTCTTCCTCAGCTTGTGGGGGCATGGTGAACTGGGGTGCCTGGCGCAGCGGCATTGACAAGGGACGGGGCCTGTTGCTCTTGATAGAGGATTCTACAAGAGAAGACAACAGGAGGACACTGGATGGCCGCTGCGGACGCTGGACGGGCGTCTGCATGCCTGAGCCCTCGGCCCCGTCTTCGTATGTGGGCGCCAGGCCAGGCACCTCGATCTCGTTGACGTCGTTGTCGCCGATGGGGAGGGGTATGTTGGCGGCGATGTCGGTCTCGGTAGGGGGGTGTTCGGGCAGGGGCTCATGCTCGCTGTGTAGGGTGTTGATGGTCTCGCGACTGGCTTTGCGGTGGTGCAGGCTCGAGTAGCTTGGGGCTTGCTGGACGCCGCGAGGGGACATGGGCGTGATGGGGGAGCGCACGCGTTTCCTCCACGTCCGCCAGAGCCTGCCCAGGGCTGAGTTGAGGGCAATTTTCTCCACGTCGGGCTCTTCGATGATCAGACGCTCGATGAGCTGCTGCTCGTGGTCGTCGTTCTGCTGGGCCAGCTTCTTCATCCGCGCTGCCATGCGCGAAAAGGCCGCCGAGCCCGCAACGAGTAGTAATTGCTCGGCCACGTACTCGATGACCGAGGTGAGAAAGATGGCAGAGGCCCAGGCGACCAGCCCAGCCTCGTCATCCTCGTCGTCGTCCATGCTGAGGCCGCGCTCCTGCTGGACATAGCGCTCCTCGTCTTCGTCCTCGAGCTCGCCCAGGCGGGTGTAGACCATGATGCGCAGGCGGGTGCGCTTCCACACCTTCTCCACGTCCCACCGCTCGGCAGCCCTAAGATGCGCTGTGGAGAGCTCGTCGTCGTCCTCGCCGGCCAGCAGCCCCTGCAGCTCCTCGTCGGCCGCCTCAATGGCATCGCGGGCCAGTCGCGGCTTGAGCACGTCGGACACGGCGGGGCGGATGGCCGTCAAGGCGGGCGAGCGCGCACTAGAGAGGAATGCGAAGAGCAGGTGGTCGAGGAAGGCATTGAGGAGGGCCAATGCCTGTTCCGAGAAGATGGCGTTCTGTAGTTCGTCTGTGTCGGCGTCCTGGTCGCGCAGCTGGGCATTGTGGTGGTCGGTAACCGTCTGCGAGGCGACGGATGCCGCAATGTAGGCGGGCGCAGGCCGCACCGTCGTGGGCATCTGGAAGGTGACGGAGCTGGCCAGCGAGGGCGTCTTGTCGCTGCTGAAGCTGTGGCTCCGCGACGAGCGCGACGAGGCCATTCCCGCCATGCCAGTCGTCTCGGACAGGGCGTGTCGATGCATGGCGCAGGAGGTCGAGCATGCACGTCGGGAAACGGGGATATCGATTAGGCAGAGTAATATGGGCTGCAGCCGATGCACGAAGAAAAGAACAGCGCTCCACGCTACTACTACCACAAAGTTACGGTATTGCTATCATGAATTCGACACTCAAGCAACAAGAGAACGGGCAAAAGCACGGGCAAACGGCAGATGGGAGATTGGGCGAGCAAAAGAGTATCAGACCAGAATCGGGGTTGTCACGGCTTGTGAGAGACATCCCAGCGGCGATCCTGGATGGTAGTCTCCTGCAATGTGCCCTGGCCTAGCTGCTTTGCCCGTAGTCCGAAGTGGCTTCTCGCCCTCCACAGCAAAGAGAGTCTAAGACAGGCTTTGTGCCACGCCGGCGTAAAGCCGCTCTACATATTACAGTACATGTCTAGTACTTGTCTACCAAAGTGTGGCCACTCAAGGTGGAGTCGTCGCACCATGGGACCAGGACCACGTCTCTGTTTCGCGCACCACGCTCGCCGTACCTGCAGCTTTTCTTTTTGCTCAACAGCCACCCTGCATCCCGACGGATATTATCGTGCTGCGAAACAAAGTCGCCGTGTTTTCGGCGCGAGACCGTCACACAAGACACGTCTGCGACAGACACCTCCAGGGCTGTATTGCCGACCCAGGGTCACGCGTCCCGCCGACGTGGTTCGCGACGAGTCAGCGCATCCTTTCGCTAATCTCAGGGGCTGGGCTGAGCTGGAGCTGGACAACCGCGGTTCGAGCAAAGTACGGCATACTGCAGTTTGTATAGGCTGGGCTAGCATGGAAGGCGTCGCCGTTCTGAGAGTGCAGATCGTGAGGATGTAGTCACATCTACAAAAATACCTTTTAGGGCAGCTGCGACTAGCATCAACGCCACACTCTGCGTCAGCGGCGGATTTTAGAGCTACCACAAGTCTTGCAGTTACTTTCCTCATTTAATTAGCAGAACTACGCCGCTTCCTACGTTCGTTGCCTAGGCTACAATGCAAATTGAAGTCTACATTGTTGGATATTCTACTCCTTTTTCAAACAACTGACACCGTATAGGCAGCAAGTAACATGAGGTCTGTCTGGTATATCGGCTCTACTTGTATGTGCTGCTAACTACGCAGTTGACCCTCCTAATTCCCCTTGATGTATCTCCTCTAAGCGGCATGTTGCTGAGTTGGTCTTCGTAGTCTAGGTGCTTGCATCCCGGCGGATTCCAAGCCTCCTCATCGCACCCTTCAACACACCCTTGGCAGCCTTCAAGCTGCGGCCAGTCAATCGCTTCTTCGCCTGTTCTGCGCACCCATTCCCTGACTTTGCCTGACCGGTCTTATCCTTGGCCTTCTGTACCTCCGCAAAAACTGCGAGCTCCTCAGGACTTTCGCTTATAACGTGAGCTTCATCGCAATCATGCGGAGGGGAATGGTCATCGTCGTTGAGGCCTGGCGGAGTGGAGTGGCTTTTGTTTCGGTGACCGAGCGATCTGGCGATGTCGTCTGAGGCCTGGCTGTGTAGAGATACGCGTTCGGCTATCGGGACAGTATCATCTTGTGATCGCGAGCGTGGCCGAGGTTCAACGAAAACGTTTGGTGGCGCCGACATCCTCTTCTCTTGAACTGTCTCTTCCGCCTTGGTGCTCACGGGTCGCTTCGAGATCTCCATCTTCTTGACACGCTCAAGTTGTGCCCGCATCGCATCGCGCTTTGCCTTGTCCGAAGCGCGCTGTTCGCTGGAACGAATCTGGGAAGAACGAATATCGGACTGGAGACGTGCATTCTCTTCAAAAAGATAGTCCAGACTGGGCCAAGCTGGGCTGTGGTTTGGATTCTGTTGACCGAGCTGCATAAGGGCTTGGAACTGTTCAGGAGTCTCCAAGGGCAATCCTTTGGGACTGAATGCATGATTGCTACCGGGCTCGGACGGCTTTGAGGTCTTGTTACGTTCCGCTTGGTGTCGCGCACTGACAGGCTCCTCGCGATGGTAGGGGAAGTTGCTGTCAGCCATGGCTCTACCAAGTCTTTCGTCAGTGGGTAAGTCAGTGAAAGGCGTGCGGTCCTCACTCTCGAAATTGCACCGCTATCTCAGTGTTGGTAGCGGGGAAGCGCGCAGATCCGAGATATGTCTGCTGTCGAGAGGGCTTAGACTGAAAGTGATGCAACTCGAGGAAGTCGCGTGCGCGTAGTGGAAGGGTGGAGCTTGGACCTGGCTGTGTTTGCTCATGGCGGCCAGTGGTGAACTCAAGTTGCTGTCTGCATTCAGTTATTGCATGGTAGATTCTCCGCGTTCACTTCCTTTGGCATGTTCACTTCTAGGAACCTTGCTTGAATACCTACGTAGACAGTGATCTCCATGCAGTGCCGTTCTTAAATGTATTGCTACTTGTACGCATTATTGACGTTACCTAGTCGTCCCATCTTTCCTTGATGCACCTTTTTCCCTTGTCAGCTAAACGCCCAGCTCTTGTATCATGTTCACAGCCTTCTGCCTGCTTCCTACTCTAGGGCCACCCACGTATGTCTTGAGGTCTGAATAATAACTGCAATCGCCATGTGGCTTTGTGAGTCACTTCGTGAACGATTTGAAATAGCACATAGTCTCCAAACACAAGCTAGATGCAAAAAACGCGCAGGGCAGGAACGTCGTGGTTGCTGTTACCCCATCGCAATCGCTCATTGGCCACGGCTGTAGCCCAAGCTTCCTCCCCTCATCATGCCCCAACTTCACAACATGACTACGCAGCACGATTAAATCTCCTTTTCTCGAGTACCTGCTCTCTGCTTTTTGAATTTCGTCGCGTTCCAAGGACGTCCATGCTTCCACCTTTCGCGGTCCGTCAGGTAATGGCGATGGGATGCCGGCGACACCATCCAAGGTCTCCTGTACCAGTGCATGACGGTAAGTACTCATGTTCCAAAGAACACAGCTCGGCCTGTAGTAGGAATCGTTCAATTGTACCGTCTCGAGCGAACGCCAAAGTCTGCTGCCCCATGCTCACCAAGGCGCTGAGGAAACTGAAGCGGAAGGAACGACATCGCGATTCTCGTCTGTCGCTGCCAGAAGAAGCGGAAGAAGACATCTTTACTCTACTGTTCAGTTTGGAAGACACCACTCAGGTAAACAACAGATGGTGGTAGCACGTAGCCCCACGACATACTCCGTTCTCCCTTCTCTTATTCCGCCCTCTCCCTCATCCTCTGGCGCAGCGTCACCTCGATGTGAGCGAATGGCTGCCATGTTGTCCCGGTCGCAAGGCGGTACCTACAGTCAGAACAGATCTCGCTGCTGTTAATCGATCCCATGTCCTCGGCATAGGCACATGCCAAGGCGTGTCCGTCGACGAACCGAGACCGACAACATGGCTCACCTACAAACCGATCACGACCCCAATGGCAGCAGGGCCGATGATAGACGTGTTCGATATAACACATGTACTGCTGTGTGATGAGGACGTCTTATCTGAGCGACCAATTCGAAGCCCTGGAGGTGCCGACGGGAGTGATTGGACGAACACTGACCTTCCGCAGACAAGACCATATTTCCAGTGTACAAACACGCAAACACTACGTGAGGCTCCTTCATTGTGCAGCGACAGAGACAATATCGCGGAACCGTCTGCTCGCAATCCCTTGTTCCATCCCGACGTTTGGCGTCGCAACTGCTACTTCGTCAATGCGTCATTGGCATTCACCATGATTGGCCCATGTCGATACAGTGGACCATGAATCGCCGACAATCACTTCTCCAGCATGTTCGGAAGCTCAGTAACCGCGATCAGGAGAAGCTAATTGCGCCATTGACTGAGAGCGGGTGGAGTTGTACTAACGCGAGATCAGTGCGCATAACCTATAGCATCATCGCCCCCCATCCGGCAGCGACGCCAACATCTACCCCGGATTTTCCAACACCATGCTACTGGCGCCATTTCCGGAGGCCTAGCTTCCCGGAGGTCGGCCATGGCCAAAATCTTCCCCCGTATCGTTCCGAGCGCTTCGTCCAGCGTAGCCTGTGCTGCTGCAGGTACACCCGTTGCTGCCACCCCACCACACCCATATCGCGCTGCAGGTCATCAATCGTCCCGGACCGCACCAGAGGGGTCGTGCCACACATTGCTTCTGTGCGCACGCCGGGTATCGCAGCGACGCAGCCCAGAGGCCAATGCCATGTGGCAGACACCGTTCGCCGATGGCTGCGTTGGTGGAAACGGATCGACGTTGGGACGTCTGATGGTTGGCCTACATATCTCCCAGCGCAGCTAGACGTCGTCTCGCGAACGACTCGCAATGTCTGGTGGTGTTGCGTCTCCAGTTGGTATAGGCCGCACGTGTGAGCACTGTCCATGCTCAGCACCACCACTCCACTGGCTGACTGGCTGCCTGGCGTGAACCATGCAGATGAGGCTCCCTGGATCAGCGCAAGCTATCATCTGGGGAAATACAAGCATTCTCGACCACGCTCCAGCACACGAGCGGGCCTCCAGCCTTGCCTAAAGCGGAGATGACACCGCCACACGCACGGTTCCTGATCTTCACGTCAAACGTCAGGCTGTTTGTGAACTGTGATGTGACGTTTGCGCAGATGGTGCTACTTGTGAGATATTGACATTGTGAAAAGCTGTTGTTGTGTCGCTGGCGGGCAAGCATGTCATCCAGGGCGCAACGGCCGGCGGCGTTACTCGATAGGCTAACGTAACATGGAAATTCGCCCATGTCCCTTATCTCTGGTGCCAGGGGGCATGCAGTGCTAGCGGATCGACGGCTCGCCCGCAACCCCGCTAAGCCCAACGTCGACGCACGATAATGTTGAGCCGACGTCGCTGTGCGGCTTTTTTACCTTTGTCGGGATGTCTCGAACGCGCTGGATTAATCACAATCGTGGGGTTGGAGAGGGATTATCATTTGGATGACGGCAATTCGTGCAACTCGAATGTGCCGCGTGCGCGCTGTGTCGCCGGCGGGCCAGGAAACCTGTGGGGTTGAGATGGGAATCTTCCAGCCGTACCATCGAAGTCGAGACGACACCAGCGACAGAGACTTCCAGCGCTCTTCTAGAATAATGCACGTCCTCTGGTCCCAGACAATAAAACGGGACACACCGGTCGGAAGGCTATTAGAGTCTCGGATGCTGACTACAAGAAACGACGTTGAGCGGTTTGCGTGATGCTGCCATGACGAGGCAGGACTAACTGCAACTGCAGCCATTGGCCCGAACCGGCCTTATCGCCCCCCGATGTCAACCCCGGGCAACGGCGCGCCCTGCCCAGCGCGACGGTTATGCACTACAGCGAGCTGGGCATGCAGGTGTCGCGAGACGTGGACGCACAGGGTCTGGGTATTCAGGGTTACGCAGCTCGTGTTGGGCAGAGGTTGGCGATGCATACGAACGGCCATCGCAAAGCAATAGTCGTGTGGAGCGGTGTGTCGTAACTGTCGTTGGTACGGGCCAAGGCCGAAGGGCATGACCAATTCGGCAGTACCTGGATAAAATTAGCTGCCCTTACAGCGACGCTACCCAGCGTCAAATCGCTCAAACTCGGAAGCTGGTGAGGCTGTGCGTCTGTGCGTTCGCCCGTCAGCCAACATCACGATGCGCGACAAAGACCGCGTGGGCCTATGGTAAGCCTTGGAAACCGGCGACACGAGATTGGGCACAATATCACCAGAGAGACGGTACAACCGTGGCTAGCGGAAGCCTAGAGATTGCAGAGTGGGCAAGGCATGCTGGGATGCGGCGTAAAGTCGCGCGTTTAGAGACATTGATTGCTTCTTCATCCCACGGAAACAGTTCGGCGACGCCTCTTGGCTACGGCCAGCCTAAGTAGTATCTGAGCACGGCTAGCCCCGCCACAGGCCGAGACAGTCAAAGCAATCCAGCATTCTTACCTTATAACAGACCCCCAGGCCCGCTATCCTTATCTACTTGCCCATCATAACTCCCCACTTCACACAGAGACCCCTCTTATAACCCCTCCACTGCCTTGTCTTGTCGCAGTCAAGAGTTGCTTGCTATTCCCTCACCACCACACATACACAACCACAGTCATGGTACGTGTAACCGACTGCTCCTACACGCGACTCTTGCTGACCATATTCTAGGCGAACTCAACGATTGTCTCCAATGCGGCCAACGTAAGTCTACTGCTCGCGTGCTACGTTCAAACACATGCTAACGCACATTGCAGCTCAAGAAGTACCTCGACCTCCCCCAAAAGGGCGCCGTCATGGCCGAGTACGTCTGGATAGACGGTTCCAACGGAATCCGCTCCAAGTCAAAGGTGAGCATTTCCAGCTTTCCGATCCTTCAACCCGATCTCCACGATCTCTGCGATATACCGCGGCATTTGCACCACGCTACGGCTGCGGATCGGTCTAGTCTGCGGTTCGAGGTTTCTAGCCGAGAGCAGCAACTGGCTGCGACGCGCCGTGCGATACACAATCTGGAAAAGCCATTCGACGACTGGAGTCGCGAGCGTGGTGGTCTGCATGTGTGACGCACATGGCGCCAATCGCTCCCTCTGCCGGAAGTTTTGGCGTTCCTTCTTATCGCACCCCACCACCAGCCACAGCCCGCAGTGACGTCGTTCCCTTATCCCACCCGACATCATTCCGATTACCCGAGGCTCATACTGACATGCACGCAGACGCTCAAGTCAAAGGTCGAGAGCCTCAAGGACCTCCCAGAATGGAACTTTGACGGTTCATCGACGGGCCAGGCGCCCGGCGACAACTCGGATGTCTACCTCCGCCCCGTTGCATACTACCCCGACCCCTTCCGTCTGGGCGACAACGTCCTGGTCATGTGCGAGACGTACATGTCGGATGGCTCGCCCAACGCCTACAACTTCCGCCACGACGCCGCCATCATCTTCGAGAAGCACAAGGAGCACGGCTTCTGGTTCGGTCTGGAGCAGGAGTACACCCTTCTCGACGAGTTTGGCTGGCCCTACGGATGGCCCAAGAACGGCTTCCCCGCCCCTCAAGGCCCCTACTACTGCGGTGTCGGTACCG